TTGAAAATTCTGACTTTGGAATCACAGTGAAGAAATACATGGGAATACACTAGTGTAGTGTCATAGCAAAAAATTTCCTTTATTCATATTAAATTACATTTTTATCAGTTTTTTGAGTATATCTCAAAATTTTGAGCAAATCAGTCAGAAATCTGTCAATTCTGACTTTAAATGCGAGATCCGATATGGAAATACTGTAATGTAGTGTCATAGCAAAAAATCTCCATTTCTTTATTTTAAATCGTTTTTTTTTATCAGTTCTTTGAGCTTATCTCAAAATTTTGAGCAAATCTGTCAATTCTGACTGCGAATTCGGATTCAGCGGAAAAAAGTACATGAGTACGGAATATAGTAGTATAGTGTCATAAAAAATTTTTTTCATCTTAATTCGGTTTTTTGAGTCTTTTTTGAGTCGTTTTTTTGAGTTTATCTCAAAATTTTGAGCAAATCTGTCAATTTTGACTTCGAATTCGGATTCAGCGTGAAAAAATACATAGGAATATACTTTTGCAGTGTCGCAGAAAAAATTTTTCATTTTCGTCATTTTAATTCGGTTTTTTGAGTTTAGCTCAAAATTTTGAGCACATCTGTCAATTCTGACTTCGAATCCGGATTCAGCGGGAAAAAATACATGAAAATATGCTATTGTCATGTCACAAAAAAAATTTTTATTTTTTTTGGTTCAAATTCGTGTTTTGAGTCGTTTTTTGAGTATAACTCAAAAAAAAGAACCAATTTGAGCATTCGGACTTCAGATTCGGATTCAGCGGCCAAAAATACATGGGAATATACTACTGTAGTGTCTCGGCCACGACACTTTTTTTTTTGTGTGCCTGTGAAATCATTATTGAATTCAGAAAAAATTTTAAAAATAATTAAAATTTTGTCAACAATTTTATTAAATTATTTAAAAACAATTAAATTTTATTGAATTTATTGAATAAGAATTTTATTATTTAATAAAAATAGTTGTAATTTTCAAAAAAATTTTAAATACTTAAATTACTGCGAAGAATTTTAATACTTTTAAAAATAATTGAATTTTTCCAATCTTTTGTAAATTCTCTAATATTTAATTTTTTAGAAATATTTTCAAAAATTTTAGTTCTTTAAAATTTTTAATTTAATTCATGCAAAATTTAAAGTTTATAACTTTTTAATTTATTTAATATAGAATTATTATTATCTACAATTTTAACTGAAGTTTATTTTTAAATTAATTTTTATTAAACAATTCTTCGAGAATTCAATTATTATTTAAATTGTATTAAAATAATTGAAATTCTGCGATGAGTTTTATTATTTGTGAAAATAATTAAGTTCCTAAAAAGAATTTTAATATTAACGAAAATAATTGAATCTCTGTAAAAATTTTATTATTTCTAAAAAATAAATAATTTAATTCTTGTAAAATTTTAATTATTTTATGAAAAAATTAAAAAGCTTGCGTAGAGTTGCATAAAATTTTTATTAAATAATAAATATTGAAAATAATTTTCTTGAGGAAATTTTTTGAAAATAATTAAAATACATAAAAAAAATTTTTGATAAATTTTGGACTTTTATGTAATATACAAAAAAACATGTTGGCTACTCGGGGTGGACATTGTTAGACATTATACAAAAAATAGTTGGTAGCGCGATTGTTAAAATAAATTTTTTAAACAAAACTTTGTAAAGTAGTACATATTTCAACTAACCTCATTTATCGATCAGGATGTCGATGTGGACACTTCTCCGAATCCAATATCCTTCATTCAAATTTTCCATCGTTGAAGCACTTCCTTTCGTGGGTTTATTTGTGTCAAATTTTGTTTCTCTGAATAAACTTCTGCTCCATGATGATCTTTTTACTTTCTAAAATACGTTAGCGAAATTAATAATTAAGTTGTTGATTAACTACGCGTAGTTAATCATATTCAATCATATTTTGTCTATTTAAATAATAATTTAAAAAGTATCGTAAATTTCATACGCGCTAATAAACCTGTTTCATAGTCATTCAACACTGCAATATTTTTAATTAAAAGAGTACAAGCTAAAAAATTTTCAAAATATTATATAATTTCCATCTCTTTAAAATATATCTAAGCATATTTTATATGTGTAGATACAGAAGAAAAGTAGTTTTGACTTTAACATATTGACATATTCACATAAATAGTAAGAAATAGTATTATTTAAAAGAAATTATAAATATTTTTGACAAATCTATAAAGACATGTTTTTTAGGAATAATTTTTAATATTACTAGATTCTGAATTAATATTAAAAAAAAGAATGATATCTACTAAAGATATTCTTATATTTTAAAATTTTCATATTTTAAATTAATTTTCACTTGTTGCACTTTCTACATTATCTTAACTTTTGACTTAATTTAAAATTTATAATATTAATTTTTAGGTACAGTGTGTACTATGATGACATTTTATTAACAGGGTTGCCACAAATATTTAATTTTATTTTTCCCTGACTCTTCTCTGATACAAAATTTTCACTTTTTCCCTGACCATAAAGAATATTCTGATTTACTCTAAAAATTATTAGATACTCAAAAAAACATTCTATTACATTTACTTACGAATTTCTTAAATTGTAAAATTATTCCCAAACATGAATAACAAAATTTTTAATTAAGTATTTAATTGTTATTTTTTTATAGGAATTAGAATTCTTCAAAACATTCAAATTCAAACATTTTTAAAATTAAACAACTTATAAGAATATTATTATAAAACACGAAGATATCAATTACTCTGAGTGTTAGACTCGGAGTGATTGATATCATTATGTTTTATAAAAATTTTAATTCCCATAAAATTTTTCAAAAAAAATTAAATTATTTACAAAAATTATAATAAAATTCTAAGCAAGAATTCAATTATTTTTAATACAATTTTAGATAAATATCTCGAAAAATAAAATTATCTTCAAAAATTTTTTGCAAAAATTAAAGGTACATTTTACTAATAATGAAATTCTTCGCTGAAATTTAAAACTTTTCAGAATTTACATTTTTAATACAAGTTTTTAACAGAATATAATTATTTAAATAAAATGTAATAAATTTCGTTGCATAAATTCAATTATTTTTACAAGTAATACAATTTTCCATATCAATTCAATTATTTAAAGAACAATTTGATGAAATCCATTATAAGAATTCCATTATTTTCATTAATTATAACATTTTTCTGAGGATTTCAATTATAATAAATGAATTGAATTTTATTATTCATGAAAATAATTGAATGTTTGTATAAAATGTTATTATTTATGAAAATAATTGAATTATTGCGAAGTTTGCTTTGAATTTTATCAAAAAATTTTTTTTAAATAATTGAATTCTTTTGAAAAATTGTTTTAAAACTGTAGATAATGAAAATCATTGAATTGAGAAAAATTTTTTGAAAATAATTGAAATTTTGGAAAGAATTTTATTACAATTTTTGAAAATAATTGAAATTTGGAGAAGAATTTTATTATTTTTAAAGATAATTGAATTCCTATGAGAATTTTTAAAAATTTTTGAATATAATTGAATTTCTTCGAAGAATTTTATTAATTTTGAAAATAATTGAATTTCTCCAGTAATTTGTAACTTCTCCAAAATTCAATTTTTTCCAGTTACTTAAATAAAAATCCCTTACTTTTCCCTGATTTCCCTGACTTGTGGCAACCCTGTCGACAAAAGGTACAAGAAACTAAAGTACCATTTTGAGAAGGAGCGTCAAATTTATATAATTAAAATACCTTGTGCTCTATGGACGATTATCCCTTTTTGGTGGAAGATCAACGAACACTTTCAATGGAATTTTCTCTATTTGAAATGGTTCACATTCTGGTAAATTAATATTATATTCCTTGTGTCCCGATGATTCGGCGTCATCAATTCGTAATGTGAATCCACGCGATGTTCTCAATTTTAAAACATCATTTTTCGTTATTTGCAAACTATCACTAGAAATAATTAATTCTACATTCTGCACAAGACCGGCTAATAAATCCCTCGTTGAATTTAATGAAACTGTTGGTTGTGTTTTTGCCACTTGAAACAATAATCTCGGACCAACTTTATAAAAACCTGGTTGTTCAAATTTTCGTTTAATTATCAGTGCATTTAGTCCCGGCTCCACTATAAATTCATCACTGACAAGAGAATTATCAAAATCACATTTTACATTTGTGGACGGTTTTCGATGTTTCGTGCTGTCCGATCGTCTTATTGGTATTTTTACAATTTGTGGATTTATCTTGGCAAGAAATAAACTTTTGTCCTGTTGTTCTTCGAAAAATGAATTCATTGTTGTTAATAAACTCTTGTATATTGATTTCTTTACGTCTATTGTACACTTTAATAATCTGAAATTAAAATCAATGAATTAAATAAAATTTAAAGAAGAAACAAATAGAAATAATTTTTTAATAAATAATAAATAATTTTTTAATTTAATTAAAAATTTGATTTGAGATATTTACAAATCCTTTTGTGGTTCGATTGGTAATTTCGTTCCTTTTTTTCTATTAGGCACCTGGGGCTTCTGTATTTCTTCAATGGATGCTGAAGCAAGATTACATTTCACTCCTCTTGGTAGTGAACTTTGTACAATAATTTCTATACTAACTATACAATCTTGAACCACTTTGTCCGTAACATTAACTTCCATACTGAGTATTGTGAAACAGTCCATTAATTCACTGAGCAATGGTTTTTGGGAAGACAATAATTTCATATAGACCAATAATTCCTCGAAATGTTTGTGCCGCTAAATTTAACCATCCTTCGTCCGTATATTATGTTTGTAAGGCATCGGAGAAAAATGCAACGGCCTTTTGATTTTCATTTAATTCAGTATAAAAATTTGCAAGATCCTTGCCAATTAAACGCGCCGATCTTATATGTCCTATATGCTTATAAGTTCCCATTGCCAATTCAGCGTGCTCAAGAAATTGTCTTTTAAATGCCTCCTTCGAGGACAATGCCTCTTTTAATTTATCATTTGTTTTTGGTTTTCCCATTGCTTGTGGTTCTGAATCGCCAATTCCGGCAATTAAATAAACAACCGTGTGTAATTGTTCACTCGATGGTTCACTGCCCGGCATGAGACCACACAATTTTCCCAAAGACTCCAACTAAAATTTAAATATTTTCTTATTCTAAATAAATGTTACAAATGTCAAATTTTAAGAAATCAGGCCTCGGAACGACTTTAAGGAGCAAAAAAGTCGCTTCAGTCGATAAAAAATACAAAAAAATTGTTTATTTAATTCAAACCTTACCTTTGGCAACTGGCCATAAACTTGCGGTATGTACAGAACAGAGATCAACTTGTTGATTATTCTCTGAATTTGACATCGACAATTGACAGGCGTGAAGAACTTCTAAAGCACAGAGAAAAGCCCAACATTCGACAGCACCTTCTGGTTTTTGAATTTCCAAAATTTGAAGTTCGATGAGTGTATTGTCAATGAATGATAAACACCTTTGCGCAATCTATTGGGAAATTTGCAATTTTTTTTTAGATTTCGGTATTAATTATAATTTTTCGTAAAAGACTGTAAATTACCTCCCAAGGCATATTGCGTAGCAATAACATTGCCGCCTGTCTGCCGAACAAATAACTCCTTAGATCTAATAAGGAAGCTTTACATTCAGCCAACATCAGTCTCAATTGATGATCAACGGTGTACTGAGCCAAACCGCCGTGTCTGGAAATTAAAATAACATGGAAATTAAATTAAAAACATTCGAAAAGAAAGGAATTCAGACTTCATATTCGATAATTAATTTTAAAAAAGTATCAAAAAGTAGCTATATTTTTAGCTATATATTTTTTCTCTAATCCTGCTGAGAACTACAATTCCAAATTTTTGAAAATTATGATCTATATATTTATATAAAATTCTTCAAAAATACAATTGTATTTGAAAGTAATTTTTAAAGGAAAACAAATAAAACTAGTTAAAATATAAAATTTAATTTAAATTGTTTACAGGAATTAAAAAACAATAAATTAATAATTTTTAAAAGTAAAAATTTAAATATTATTAGTTTTACAACTAAAATTTTCAACGATTTCAATTTAATAATTGAATGTTTCTCAAAAATTTAATTCTTTTAAAGAATTTATCAATTTTTATAAAAATAATTGAATTTCTGAAAAATTTATTATTTATGAAAATAATTGAATAATTGTGAAGAATTAGAGAAAGAATTTATCAATTTTTTTTATAAATAATTGAATTTCCGAGAAGAATTTTATTATTTATGAAAATAATTGAATTCTTGCGATAGAATTTTATATAAAACTTTTAAATTCATTTTTTTCGAAAAATTTTTGAAATATTTAAAATAATTCAATTCCTGTGAAGATTTTATTACTTATAAAAAAATTGACTGTTTGCGAAGAATTTTATCAAAATTCTTTTATGGAATTTTATTAAAATTGTAGATATTGAAAATCGTTGATTTTCAAAAATCAATCAATTTCCTGAAATGTATATCGAGATTTTGACCTAATTAATAATATTCTAGAAATCCATTTAGGAGTTTACGCTCCACGTTTGTCTAAATCTCAAAAAATGGCTATTTTTTCGGTTTTCCTAGCTTAAATTCTATAAAAATATCAAAAATATTCAAATAAACTTGACAGAATTATTTCTTTTTTGATTCTTTATCCAACAAAAAAGAATGAGCCAAATCGGTTAAGATTTACTCGAGTTATTCAATTTTATCGAAAAATAGCCGATATTTTTTTTTTACTTGGCGGCGATTCTCTACCGCGAATCTTGATATTTATTTCTGAATGTAAAATTTATAGGAATTATAACCGAATTCATTAGAATAAAATAAGTAAGAAATTAAAAAAAAATAGTTTTTTGGAAATAAAAAGAAAAAGCTCACCTCCGACATTTTAGTTGAGTTCAAACTGTGTGAAAAGTGCGTCTAATTCATCATATTGTATCAAAGTCCCGCCATGTAAACCTAAGACTTCTAATACAAATACAAGTTCTTCCTGCAAAAATACAAATTTCAATATTTAAATATACATTTTACTAAAAAATTCTTCATTCTTAATTTAGAAAAAAAGTCTCACTTGTAGAAGAAAATAATGGCAAAAATTCCAACCGAGTTGATTTCGCTTCTCGCGATGCTCCTTAATAATTTCTCTAAATCGTAAAAGTGCTTTGTCATATGCTGTTAGTGTTAAATGCCTTATTCGTATAATTAGACCTCTCCATGATTCAACCGATCGAGATTTAGATTTAATTGGATTTATAACTGATATGCACCTGCGAAAAGAAAAAAAATTAATAACGTACAAAAAAATAGTAGCTAATCTAATCTTACTATTGTAAAATTGTATTTTACTATTTTAAGATTGTAGTTTACTATTTTGGAATTATAACTGTAAGAAAAAAACCACTGTATAGGGTTGCCAGAGATCAGGGAATTCAGGAAAAAGTTAGAGATTTTTATTAAAAGTACTGAAAAAATTATATTTTTAGAATTCAGAAGAAAATTCTGAATTTTTAGTGTTTTTTTTTGTTTGACTCATAAATTATACCACGAAACCTTCAAAACTTTTTTCTATTTTTGACCAGAATGAATTTTTTAATATTATTTAATTATTTCGAAAGTTTTAATGCAATTATTTTAAAAAATAACAAAATTCTTCACAAAGATTCCATTACTTTTAGGATTTCAATTATTTTTAATACAATTTTAAGTAAATTCTTTGAAAAATGTCACTATTTTCAAAAATTTTGTTAAAATTCTTTGAAAGCATTCAATTATGTATGTATTCTTAAAAATTCAGACTATAATGCTTTTAATATTCAATTATTATCAAGATCCTAAAGTTCTGAACGTTCAAATGAACGAAATTTATTTATTTCTTCTTCAAATTAAATTTTTATTGCAATTATTTTGCATCACTATCCAAAAAATTAATAACTGAGTTTCTAACCGTAAATATTTCAGTTTTAAAATTTTTTGTGATTAGTAATTTATAAAAAATGTCTTCAATAAAAAATATTTCGTTAATTTGAACGTTCAAAACTTGAGGATAATTTATTATCTCAAATTTTAACTGAAATTCATTTTAAAATCAATTTTTATTGGAAAATTCTACAAGTATTCAATTATTTAAATACAAAAATAAATAATTTATTGAATAGATGAATGTTTGTCGAAACTAAATTATCAAAAAGAATTGTATCAACAAATTTTAATTTTTTTCCAGAAATTTTAATAAAATTTTCAAGAATAATTAAATTTTTCGAGAAATTTAATTACAATTGTATTAAAAAGTAATTGAAATTCTGTGATGAATTTCATTATTCATGAAAATAATTGAATGTTTGTATAAAATGTTATTATTTATGAAACTAGTTGAATTATTGCGAAGTTTGCTTAGAATTTTATCAAAAAATTATTTTTAAATAATTAAATTCTTTTGAAAATTTTTATTAAAACTGTAGATATTGAAAATCATTGAATTGAGAAAAATTTTTGAAAATAATTGAAATTTTGCAAAGAATTTTATTAAAATTTTCGAAAATAATTGAAATTTGGAGAAGAATTTTATTATTTTTAAAGATAATTGAATTTTTATGAGAATTTTTTTAATTTTTGAACATAATTGAATTTCTGCAATCATTTGTAACTTCTCAAAAATTCAATTTTTTCCAGTTACTTAAATAAAAATCCCTCACTTTTCCCTGACCAATTTTACTTTTCCTGACTTTTCCCTGAATTACCTGATTTCCCTGACCTGTGGCAACCCTGATGAAGCCTTGTGATAAACAATTATTCAATTTCTTACCTTTGATGTTTTGATTTCCACTTTCATTCGCACTATATGCAGTAAATATAATCATGCACGAAACTTCAGAAACTTAGTAGAAAGATCCTGTCACAACACGTTTTATACGCACGAAAATATGTTGTATGATTATAACTCCAGAGTAAAGTTTTTAAATATGAAGAAATTCTCCAATGACTAATATTCACAAAACACTTGTTGAACATTCAAAAAGTTCCACTTCTGTTTGTTTTTGTTATTGTTAGATGTTTCACTTGAGTTGTTTTGTCCACACGCACACGGATCATTTGCAATCACCAGTAAGGGGTTAAATTTGATTGGTTCTAACGAATCTAGTTGCGTTTATGGCGCATTCACACCTTTGGCGACTTCCTGCGCGTGCAAGCAGTCGCAACTAGAGTAAAGGAGAGAAATATAGAATTTGACTTATCTAACTCTCTTACTCTCATGTGTTTTCTGCAGGCAGGCGCCACCATAAAGTCCAACACACAATAGGTTCGCGAAAGTCGTTCGAGAACGAGACGCATGAGATAGACAAGGACACAAATATATCTCTGTCCTTTTCTAACTCAATAACGTATTACTAATTATGACAATAAAAAATGAGAAAAAATTAAACGTTTAAATTATGTTGTGAAATTAAAAATCTTATCAAATTAAAAAATAGTAAGCAGTAGAGCTGTGCAAAATAATTCGAACCGATGTCGAAAAATTCGACATTCGAGTTAGCCCAGTTCGGAAGTCGAATATTCGGCATTCGAGTTACTATAAAATTCGAACCGAACCGAGTTGTGTTCGGTTTTAGTACAAGGAGAGACCGAGATTATTAATTTTTGTATAAAATCACACTAGAATTTACAATTTTCACATTGCAACCACCGGAAATAAAGGGAACCTTTTGTATTTTTTACTATTTTCTATACACTAAGTCACTAATCCGACAAATGTTCACCAAATTAGCAAAGTTTCTTGACTAATGGAGACAAACTGGAAAATTTACAGTACTTACGAAAAAGCAGTTTACTTTTAACAACTTATTATAAGACATAGTTCTTGGGACAGGAATAAATGCAAAATTTATTAATTTATAATGGTCAATTTCTGAGATAACGAACGACCTACGTTTCACTTTATATTTAATTATTGTAGATAATATCCAAATTTATTTTACATACGCGAAGCATAGTCACTGTCAATGATCTAAATCTGAATTAGTAAAATTCTACTAATTCTTAGTAGAATATTACTAATTGAAATGGGGAAAAGTCGTCCACCTACTCTCTAAATCTGAATTAGTAGTTTTCTACTAATGAAATAGTGCGGATTCGTTTCCTGTGCATATATAAAGTACTAAAGTATTAGGCATAATAAAAAAAATTTTATAAATATGTCAAAAAATGGCAATCCAAAATTTTGCTAATACAAAGCTTCCTTTATGAGGAAGCAATTTAATAATTATACTAATTCATTAGTAAAACATTAACCTACTAATAAAAGGTAAAATTTCTACTAATTCAGAATTAGAGAGTAATAATAAATCTTATCAGAATAAAACATCTAATTATAATCTTTTACATGAGAGGAAAAAGAGTGGATCTTTTATCCTTTTCTCTCACTATCTTGTCAATGTTTATGATTAGAGGTTTCATTCAACTTGGACTGATAATAATATATAATAATTTTAATTATAAAAAATAATTAAATACACATGGAAAACGTTCAAAGGGGCTTCCCAGATAGAACTTTGATGCCTACAACGACTAAAGAAGTTAGTCACATTCGGGAAGTACAGTCACATTCGGGAAGTACACCCCAATAGCTTCTGAAATCTGCAGCTACAGAGGTTACAGGCATGACACGTGAGCAATCGACTGTTGTGATTACATCATGAATAGACCTAAAGGCCTTTCTCCAATAGGTTCACAAAACTCTGCGTTGCGTCGGTTGCTATGGTAACACAGACAGCCTTAAAGGCCTTTCTCCAATAGGTTTTAAAAAGTGTGCGAAGGACTGCGTCTGCGTCGGTTGCTATAGCAACACATGCTAAAATCAACGCAACGCAGTCATTTGCACACTTTTTGAAACCTATTGGAGAAAGGCCTTCACTAGAGTAAAGGTGCTTACATACCTTTGGTATTTGGGTTAAGCAATTAAGATGCTTGCACACTTCCAAATTTTTGGGCAAGCATCGAGTTTTCACGATCGTGAAACTCACGTCACGAAATATGATTGGCTCTCCTTAAAGCGGAGTAAAAATAAACTTTTGTCAAAGCCAATCATATTTAGTAACGTTAATTTTAACGACATCGCTCGCCAAAAAATTTGGAAGTGTGCAAGCACTTTCACTTCCTTTCTGTCGAATAGAAAAAAACCATGAGTGTGAGAGAGATGAAGATACATGTTCGCTATATTTCCATTCATGGCCTAATTACAAAACTCAACTCAAAACGCTGTCATGGGACTGCACCCTGAGGCTGGAGTCCCATGGTAGCGTTTTGCGTTGCGTTTTGTAACTAGGCAATGAGTGCAAATAGAGCAAACATACAGTACGAAAACCTAGCACGTCAGTCATATCCCATGAGTGGGAGTGAGACAGACTTATGCGATTCCCATACTTTCCTATGACTGACGGATAGCTTTTCTTACTGTATATCTTTATCTCTCTCACACTCATGGCCTAGTTACAAAACGCAACGCGAAACACTATCATGGGACTCCAGCCTAAGGGTACGGTCCCATGATGAGCAGAAAACACAATGCAAAGCAGAATTTCGTAAGAGTGAAAAGAATAGTGATATCTGACTATCTCTCTTGCACTCACGAAATTCTGTTTAACATGGGGCTGCACACCCTGAGGGTGCGAGCAGAAAAGTCGACCGAAAGCAGAAAACCATGAATGCAATAAAGATAGGTAGATATTATTGTTCTCTTCACTCTCATGATTTTCTGCTTTTGGTTGACGAATATACCTCTATTATCTCTGTTTGTATAAAATAAGGGTAAACAAACGTTGCTAACCTCAAAAACATACATTTTAGCATATTCTGAAGTTCCTGTGAAATGTAAAGTGTTAATTTCACTACAATTATTTTATAGAATGCGTTTCAATTACATATATGTAGATAGAAAGTGTTTAAAATCCATTAAATTTGCAAAACATTAAAAAGAAAATGCAAAATTTTTTCTCTCATAAGAGTTGCGTTGCGTCGTCTGTTTGTTTTCCCTCCAGTTATCTGACGTCACAACTGAAATAGCCTAATTGTGCTTTGGTTTTTGTAACTAGGACATGGATGTGAAAGATGGAGATATATGTTCGTTACATTTGCACTCATGGACCAGTTACAAAATGCGAGGAAAAATGTGCCTTGAGGGTGGAGTCCCATGGCAGCGTTTTGCGTTGCGTTTTGTAACTAGGCCATGAGTGCAAATAGAGCAAACATATATCTGTATCTCTCTCACACTCATGGCCTAGTTACAAAACGCAAAACGCTATCATGGGATTCCAGCCTGAGTGTAAAGCTGTATCTACATAGCGAAAAAAAGTGAGAAACGCGCAACGTAGACGCGAAACGCGAGAAAAATACATGGCAATTTCTCACGTTTCGCGTCCGCGTCGCGCGTTTCTCAACTTTTTTCTGTATTGTAGAGGCAGCATAAGAAGGACAGAAGTATATATCTTTCTTTCTCTCTCTCATTATTCAATGCAAAACACAGCGTTGATTACACCCTAAAGGTGCTTGCACACTTCCAAATTTTTAGGCGAGCGAGGTTGTGAAAATTAACGTTACCAAATATGTTTGGCTCTGAGGGAGCATTTACACCTTTTGTTAAAATTGTCCAGATCGGAAAATTTTTCATTGGAGTAAGAAAGACAGATATACCAGTCTATCTCTCTTACTCCAATACTCCAACTCAGTTCATTTCGGCCGTTCTAGAATGAGCTAAAACGAGGCAAAACGCAACGAAGACGCGACGCGTTCCCATTTGATTAGCATTGGGACGCGTCGCGTCTTCGTTGCGTTGTGACTCGCAGAATGAATACGGATACGGGAACAGGACAAAGCAAAAGAAAATGACAGAAGCCGTCTGTGTCCTTTTCTTTCTCATGCTGTTCATTCCGTTTAGGCCTAAACTATATGACGGCGGCCATGTTCATACATAGTATTCTAAGGGTACAGTCCCATGTTGAGAAGAAAGCACAATGCCGAGAATATAACAGACCACGAAGTAGTATAAGGAGACTTAACGCCCATGTAAAGTTCAAAAAAACATGGCCCCAAACAAGGCGAAGCCTATCTCAAGTTTTCCGGTGTTCGACTGTTCCGCGCGACCTCCTCGGGAAAATTTACAACTAAATAGTGACGTCTGCTTTTAAAGCACTGTGAAGTGTTTACATTTGAATGACATAAATAATAATTTAAATAATTACTTATTATTTAATTATGGGAGCAAAATAAGACTATTTGACAGTACGTATGAAAGCTTACTTTCTTTTCAAATAATATTCAGCATTATTTTTTAAAGAGATCATGTTTTTTTGACTGTATTTACATTTATTGTTTTAGGTTATATTTATGTAATTGATTTTCACAGACACGAAAATACATAAATAATTTTTGTTTTTAGATAATATTAATTATTAAAAAGAAAAACAAAGAATCATGGAATATTCGATGGAAAAACTTACATTTGAAGAGTGTAAGATCAAATTTAATAAATCACAATTACCTTCTGATAAGTGGTATATTATTTTTTAAGTTTTTATATAAAATTGGAAGAAGATTGTGTTACCAAAAATAGAGTTGTCATTCTTAAAGATTTGAGTATAAAAATTTTCATTAATGATAAACTTTTTCCTCTATCTCAATTTATAACAATGAAAAATCATATTCTTACAATTTTATAAACGAAATAAATTCTTTGTTTCTTGTCATATGATACCACTTATCAGAAGGTAATTGTGATTTATTAAATTTGATCTTACACTCTTCAAATGTAAGTTTTTCCATCGAATATTCCATGATTCTTTGTTTTTCTTTTTAATAATTAATATTATCTAAAAACAAAAATTATTTATGTATTTCCGTGTCTGTGAAAATCAATTACATAAATATAACCTAAAACAATAAATGTAAATACAGTCAAAAAAACATGATCTCTTTAAAAAATAATGCTGAATATTATTTGTAAAGAAAGTTAGCTTTCATACGTACTGTCAAATAGTCTTATTTTGCTCCCATAATTAAATAATAAGTAATTATTTAAATTATTATTTATGTCATTCAAATGTAAACACTTCACAGTGCTTTAAAAGCAGACGTCACTATTTAGTTGTAAATTTTCCCGAGGAGGTCGCGCGGAACAGTCGAACACCGGAAAACTTGAGATAGGCTTCGCCTTGTTTGGGGCCATGTTTTTCAACCCGTCAAGTCTCCTTATACTACTTCGTGTAACAGACGATAAATTCTACAAGAAATTAAGAGAATGTAACATAACCTCATTTTTGTCATTACACTGTGGTAAATTCGA